CGCTAGTTGTATATAAATTAATATTGGATCGTCTGTAATTTATATTTAATAAGAGCTTTACCTTTTGCGACATACATACTTACTACTTAATAGTAATTCGAGTCAGTACAAGTTATCAACACCCATTTTCCTTACTTAAAGTAGAACAAGTATTGCAGAACGGCAGGTTTAAATGAAAGTTTGATACTAATAACGATGAAAAAAATAACACGTTCAGATAATTTTTGGATGTAGAAATTATGATCATGTGTCAAAGAGTTGGAAGGCGAAGTATGAAGACTTTTAAACACCAAGTTTATTTACTTAAAGGTTAGGTGCAAGTCTGAAACCCCTTTGACGAGCGTGTGAAAAGAATGATGACAATGAAAGCAAAACGTCAAAGGGGTAATAAGTCGAGATCACCGCTCTTTGCTCTGTTCTGAGTACCCCACAAGAGATACAACCAAATGCATTTTAAAAATTATGTAATGCAATTTTTATGTTATTAGTAAACAGGTTGCGAATTCTATTCCTGTCTAAAGCAAATATGAACTAATAGTTACTTTCTATTTTAAAATCTAACATATCATCAATGCGTGTTTTGTATAAAATATTTGTTTTTTTCATTCGCTTGAAATCAATTGATTTCTGGGTTCAAAGGTGAAATTCGTGTCAAAGGATGGTTAGATTTTGGTATGTTATGAAAAGAAAAATAAAAAAAACACACAAAAATCTTTTCTTCAATCATTTATTGCAAATATAAGATTTCATCTAATATTCGTTAAGATTTATCATATAAACCCTTTTGCCTAATTGGTCACTTCACACGACGCAAGTTTCGAACTTTTTATTAAAAATGAGATTGCAAATGGAAAAGCCAAAAACAAAGTTATAAAAATTAACTAAATAAATGCAATAAAATACAAAATTTGGTTCACTAATACTAAAAATATCATCGTTCATATGGCAAGTTATATAAAATCACAATTCTTATAATCGGGAGTATAAAAGTAAAACTGCTAAAATCACTAAATATGACTTTGTTAATGTGTCATTAATTGTTTTAAGAAGATAATAGTAGAAATCTATATATCTATACAAATACAATGAATGTTCGTATGTTTGTCCTCTATGTGTTCGTAAACCATTGATCCGATTGTGATGAAACTCTGATGGATTATTCTGTAAACGTCTGAGAAGATTCCTGGCGCAAAATAAGATTTTTTCTTTGGACGTTTATGTTTTATGCCTTCCTAAACAATTCACGCTTAAGGACGCACCCGAACGAAGCGAGGGTAGCTCGCTAAGACCTAAGTACATATATAAAAACTGCATATTCATTAAAAAATGAATAAAAATATAAGAACTACTTCTTTTTTGTTTGTCAGATATGAAATGAAATTAGCAAAGTTTTACTTTTATAGGTACATGCAATATTTAACATTATAACGCAAAAGTTGAATTTTATATAAGAATTTAAAAATATTTTTTCTTCCACTTGACAGAAATTGACACAAATTTGGCATTGGCATTGCAAATACTAAAATAACATCTACCATTACTTCAGAATAAATACATTCTAAAAACATTTTCGATTTCATAATAAAATTAATAAGTACACAATATTAAATCACCCAAACTAATAAAGAATTTAATAACTCCCTATCTACTTAATTGCTAAAAATTCTAATAAATCACACTGACATTATCATACTATAAATATGAAGAAAAAAAATAGATTAATATCTCAGACTAAAGAAATATACAGACACGGAGCCCACAAAAATACCCGTCAATGTAAAAAATGCATGTTTTGCTGTTTAGGCTAATATACTCGTTTTTGCTATACTGTTTACTATTTCAAATAATTAGGAAAATTTCATTAATAAAATATAAAAAAAAAGAAATTATATTATTTTGGATTTTTAAGAACTAGTTCTTCTAGTAATGAATATTCTATAAATATTAGTATTCTGTTTTAAAACATTACACGTATATTATTTTAAATAATTATTGTTTGTCTTCATTTTTACTTCAATGAAACGTCTATATTTTTTCTTAGTCTGAGATTAATACATATAGATTAAAACACGTAAAATAAATACTAAATAATGAATATATAATAATAATTTAAGCACTGATTTTTTATTCCTTCTCGCCTACACGTAGGACTCTATATATTGCCGTTTCTTTTGCACATCGAGTGAGTCAAACCCATCAATCCATGTCGAGATTCCGAGTAATGACTATTGTCTTTTTAATTTTTCCATCAGTATGTATAAAAAAAAATATTACGTTTTATTTATGAACAAAATTTGAATATTACAAAATGGAACTTATTCTATAGTGTATAAGGTGTAGTAAAATAGTGCCTGTAATTATATAAAAATATTTAAAGTGCAAAATTTAGTGTTTCCTCTTAAAATTGTGAAAAATATATATTTTTCTTATTAAATTATATATGTTTTATAACTTAATAACGTGCTAGGTTTGCTAATCCATTGCTATGAATATTTTGGCCTAATTTATTACAGCAACCTAACTGGTTAGTAAAATATATTTCAATGGAACAAAATCAATTCAAATCAATTTATTCCCATACGAATATAAAATGAGCTTAAAAATTATTCAATTTCATAAAGTATCTTATTTTTATAGTAATAAGGTTTAAATACTTCAAAATCTAACTGTATATAAAAAAAAATATTGTAAATTACCATACATATTAAAGATTCGAAAACGACCTCATTCAGGAAAGGTTAATAAAAGGTTAAAAAATAAAGGAAATAACAATAATAAAGAGAATAACTTGTCCCTTTCTTTTGTTTGAGTAAAGAAAGAGAACGAAAAAAGGATATAGATAGAAAGAGCAACTAAATGTTATTTATTATAATTAGGTATGGTCGACACACAAAGACAAAAAATGTTTTACTATTCGTCTTTATCATTTTTGTCCAAATATAAAACATTTTCCGACTGTAATAATTCAATTTGACTATAATATTATTAATTATCCTACTTATCTCTAATTAGTAGGACATAATACTTAGAATTCTTATTTGACATAAAAACGCCACTTTCAATTATTAATAAAAAAATTAAATCTAACTACAACAAACATATTGTTAAAATTATTATTATTTTGTGCAATTTTCCATTTCTGTGAAGAAAATCTGTGCACATTAATATATATCTTAAATATTATTAGGGTGGAGCGAAAAAAATTTTTTTTCTTAGCTTGGGGGTAGAATTTGTAGCAAAATAATCAAAATTCTGAAAAACATAATTTTTTTTACTCAACATTTTGAGGTGGCCCACAGATTTTTAAAATAAATAATTTAAATTTTTGGTTCGAATGAAAAAAAATTTTCGAGCGATCTTTGAAAACATGCAAGAGTTGACGAAAATTATCATTCTCTACTCAACTTTTATTGTAAAACAAAAAAGTAGCATGTTATTTTTTCAACTTTTTTTTTAATTGCAATAACGGTCAGATTTTTCTTATTTTCGTTCATAACTTTGAATTGACTTTAAAGAAGACACTATGTATAGTTTCCAAAACAATTGCAATAATTTTAAAAATTAGCAGGCCACCTCAAAATGTTAAGTAAAGCATTATTTTTTTCAAAAATTATGTTTTTTTCTGGCAAAGAATTTTTTTTTCGTTCCACCCTAATATGTATATCCTAAATATAAAAAAAACTTATGAAAATATATGAAAATGTTCACACGCAGCACACACCTAAATAACTAATGAGACATGTTTTATTAATTTTGACTATATTGCAATCACAAACTTATAACTTATGCTAAATAAAGTAAATAACTGAAAATAACTAAGTCGTTCACATATACATATTTAAAGCATAATACTATGTAAAATTTAGATTTTATATTTTAATTTATAAATACATAATAATTTTAAACTTACATTTGAAATTTTAGGCGAAACTTTATGAATAAAAATAAATCAAAAATTGTATTAAAAAATAATTTAACATTGAAATGTTTCAAATACTTGAAATTATAATCTATATATAGTTTATAGACAGAAATAGGCAAAGACAAAACGGTTCAGTACCTTTTTCTCCTGTTCTATAACCGATTTTCCATTTTTTGTTTAGTAGCTATGGACGAGTTTCAGTGTTATCAATAAAAAAAATTAGAAGCAGTTTTTTTTATATTAATAGGTAAATTCTTATTCATATATATTTTAGTCGCAATAATGTTTATGGAAAAATTTCCTACCACTCGACGAAAACTAGTTATATATAATAAATATGCAAAGTAATGTGCTTCAAAAGGTTTTCTTACATATTATTTAAACTTCACAGTGAAAAAATAATTTATAGGCATGAACCATTAAATTTGCATTACAAGAACGCAAAAAGAAATCAAACGTAAATATTCATGTGAAAAATATTACAATGTTGTAGTATTTCAAGTGTTTTACAATGTTGCTATATTAGTTGATCATAGACTAAAAATTGTAAATAATTTTATTAAATACAACATTCCAAATAATTATTATTTGACCAATTATATTAATCAATGCTATTAAATTATTGTATTGTTATCTATATTTCATATACATACATATGTATATGATACAAAATGTCAAATGTATATGACAATTAGAAGTAGGTCACAATTGATTTCCTGGATTTGTAAATACATATGTAGTTAATTACAAAATAATATATATTTTTTAATGGAAAAAAATGAGCACCAAAATGTAATTTTAAGTTTCCTATTCAACTAAGGCGGTTTGTGACAGATATACATACATACATTGAATATATAAGAGATCAAATGTTAATAAATATGTATGAAAATTATTATGATCACAACTCTGCTGACAGTACACAAGTCCGTCATAGACTAAAAATTATAAATGAGTTTATTTAAAAAAAAAGAACAACCAAAACAATTTAAAAATAAAACTTATTTTTCCACAAATGACATTAAATTATTAATTATTCACTAATGAAAAAAAAATCGAGCACCAAAACCTAATTTTAAGTTTCCTGTTCGACTAAGGCAGCTTGAGACAAAGATATTTGTTGAGATCTCGGCAATGGCCGTACTAGGACCATCCTAATAACAGGTGCTAGTAAATATATTAAAACTGCCGCTGCTATAACAGAAAACCCACACAAAGCCCATTGAGCTGCTTTTATAGTAACTTCTGTGTCTTCAACATTCTTAGTTAACTGACATAATGTTAGAAAAGATGATGAATAATTATATGGACCTGTTATACGTGCGTTAGGACCACAGTTGGAGGAACGCCAGCCTATCCAACCGGACGACCTATTGAAAAGTACCTATAACAACAAAAAAATGTTTGTGTGTACTTATGTACGCATGTAAGAAGTTATACTTCCTTGGTGTAACAGAACAAAAATACCTAAAGATTTCATCCCGTATGTCACAACTTTCTGTTTGTAAAAGGAATGTAGCCAACTCCAACTTCATCATGTCGCTTTTTGGCTGTCGGTGTGCGCACACGTGTGGCGTGTGCGCATCGTAAAAAATTTACCCTCATATTTTTTTTCAAACGTGTCTAAAGAATATAACTCGAATAACCTAATGACCTATTTCAGTCACTGTTGTCAATATTGAGATTACAAGTATGTAACCAAAGACAAACATATTTTCGATTCTTTCCACTCTCACACTCCAGGTGACGACCCACGACACAACAAGTGAGAGATGAAATTCTCATTACATAATGAAATTCTCCATACCTACTATGAAATGAAATGTTTAATATTATTCAAATAAATATTTAACGGCAGGTAAAGACGTATACAAACCGGGAGTAAAAATTCAATTCAAATGCAATATTTCAAAAGAAAAGTTTAATAAATAAAAATCAACTTAATTATCTAAAATTAAAATAAAGTCATCATATAATGATAGTGACTTTATTGATTTATTGATTACTTTATACTCTTTATTGATTACTTTATACTCTGTGATTAATGAATAGAAATTAATGAACATAATTATTTCAAATTTAAATAAAGTCATTAATAATATATTTAAGTCTGCCTTCAACTGGTCATTGTAAACTTGACTTTTATAATTTTAAGCAACTTAATTAGTCGGGAGGCGTGGCTAGGCCGATAGACAACGATGACTCACTATTTTCTTAACGCGAATGAACTATAGATACTTTCAATTATCCTAAAAGTTGGCCCCGATACTCCGTTTCAACATAGACTAATATCACATCTACTAATCTATGCAGTCGTTTAACGAAGGCGTCTAAGGGCCTGGGCCCACCCAACTGTCATTACTTATATGTAGTTTTGTATGACAATTTACTTGGCTTTATGGTTTACGGGTACGCTAAGTATGGCTTCGAAGCCCTTTACAAAATAAAATTGGTATTTTTGAAATACCCTTGATGTGACATCATTTTTATTTAACTCATGGGGTGGTTGTTTGTTATAAGGATTTTTATAGTGTGCAAATATTGAGTGAGTTTGTGAGTTTTTCAGACTGTTAGAGATCAAAGATTTTGAGTGAAATTCAGACTATAAATAGGTTATATTATACAGAATTGGTATATGTATATGATACTCATTATAGTCGTAAACACGACACGAGCAAAATCACGGTCTGAACTAGTATATAATAAATAAGATAACAAACCTCCAATCCTTCCATAGCAGTGTATCCTAGAACAGTTTCATCTCTACCGGCTTCGAGGCCTAATTTGTAGCAGAATTCAGACACACTACCACCTTCACCGCTGTTGTTTCGAGCTGTTATAACTCTCATGAAATTCTAAAATAAAATATCAATATTTATTTATTTACTAATTTAAACAACTAATTCGAGAGAAGAAAGGAAATATTTATGTATATATTTAAAAATAACTGAATATTATGTTTGCTTGTGACATGTATTAGCTGAAAATCACCGCAAGGAAACTGGCTTTCAAATGAAAAAACTGGATCGATATCGGTCCATCAGTTTGAGAGCTACGATGTCACAGACAAACACAAACACATACAGACAGACTTCGATGTCAAACTTATAACACCCCTTTTTGCGTCGGGGGTTAAAAAATGACTATTAACAAAAAAAAACGGTCGTTTTCCTGTTATACGACTCCAAATCTATTGTTTAACTATTTAGCAAAATGTGAAATTGTAAATAGAAGTTATACTTGTAATAAGAAGTAAAATAATTATGGTATGGATGAATATCCTAGTTGAGTTGCTTAATTAATATTATGTGGGTTCAATCTCTTTCTGATTTTTAAATGGTAAGGTTTTGTTGACATCAGTAATTTCATAAAATTCCGATGACGCGTCAAATACAACCTATATAAATGTACTGTATTTCTGTATATAAGTTTATATCACCTGAGGAGGTATTTCCAGGGTGAAATATTTGTTATCTGCTTCAGTGCTTAGAAGGTCGATCCCTATTAAGGGCAACGACCAGTCTTGAGGCTCGGGCCAACATGCCGCCTGAAAAATATATAGATAATTGAAAACTTGTAAGCATGCTTTAATTACCTTCATTTGAAACTGGCGACACGTTTGGCTCAGTTTGTAGTGACTTTACTTGCTGTGCCAGTAGTCGCGGATTCGATTCCCGCTGGGAGCATTCATTTGTGTGATGAGCACGAATGTTTGTACTCCAATCATGGCTGTTTATATTTATAATATGTATGCATTTAATGTTATATATGTGTAGTGTATCAGCTATCTGGTATCCATAACCCAAGCCTCGTAGCTTACCATGGAACTAGATGGTGCTGTGTGTTAATGTCCCAACATATTTATTATTTATGTATTTAAAACTTTTTATGTGAAATCCAAATGACAATGATTTGATACCAATAAACTGATCTGATGATGGAGCCAGGATGTGGTGGAGATTAGTTAGTGGTTACAACTCTTTAATGGATACTAATAAGATCTTCTATATTGGGCTCATTTAAAGAGTTTTTTAATTATAGTTGATCCAAATCCAAAGTTTTTTAAAAGTGGTAACGCGCTCGCTAGGTAAACTGAGTTAAACGGGTTCAAATCCCGGGTTTGGCATCTTTCATATTTTCATATGCTAAGCATTTCCAACATGATTACCACTTGTCTTACGGTAAAGGAACATCGTGAGGAAACCTGCATGTCTGAGAGAACCTAGTAAGTTTTCGAAAGATATGTGAAGTCCGCCAACCCGCACTTAGCTAGTAGCGTGGTGGACTATGGCCCTCCCCCTCGTATTGAGGGAGGCCCACCCCCAGCAGTGGGACGTTAATAAGGGCGGAATACATACTTGTACATATCATTTTTAAATGATAATTTTTATTAATATATTCATATATTATGTATTGCTTTTCATTTTACTATTTACAGGATATTACGCTAGATATCCATGGTGTGTTTTTAAAACATTTTATTTGAAATATTATGAAAATTAAATATTACCTCTCCATGATACCAAAATTCATCTAAAATTAATATATTAGATGTTTGTGCTGCACTTCTTAGTTCATTAACAACCTAAAAATATAAAAATATTTATAATACATATTCTAATTAAATTTTATGACTAATATATATGTTTTTTAATACTTTTCCTATCTATAAACTCTTTAACTGGTTTTTTTTCAGAATTATTAATAAATCAATATATGGAAAAAAAAATATGTGTGGTTTGAGTGTGTGATTGTAATTGGTGCGTTTTAATGGTTAGTATTAATATAATATGCATGTATTATACATATAAACCTTCCTCTTGAATCACTCCATCTATTGCTAAAAACTGCATTAAAATCCGTTACATACTTTAAAACATCTACGCGTATAAGCAGCGGTAGCGACTTAGTGTTATACTATGTATAGATATATTTTTTTATTAATAATATATATCTATAATTATAGTAAATTGTTACCTCTCTAAACACCACATCTGGCAATCTGATATTAGTGGTTCCACTGTCTACAATGCTTTTCTCTTTGTTAAGATTTAAACACATATCTTTATAATGATCGCTGTCACTTGTTGTATTATCCATAGCTTTTGTTGCATTTGGACTTCTTGCTTGTAATACACGGATTGATAGAACACCAACTTCGTACCATCTTTTATGTAATATTGGTGTCCTATATATTATAGGATTTGTAGATCCCATAGTGTCATCTGTAATGAAAATGTATAATCCCTTTATAAAAGTAATAATTGACATCTTCATTATTTTATTGTCCTTTCAAGCTAGCTAAGCTATTAAGTTATTTCTAGGTTTTATTTTATATTATATAGTAATTATGTATGTAAAATAGAGCAAAATATAAACACTCTTTAGTCACTAAGTAAAGTCAAATATTCTAATAGTGAACAATGTTTATTACTATAGGTTTTTGATACATATTTACAATTTATTTTATACCAAGATATAGAAAAAAAACTAACATAAAATGAATCTTACCAAGCATTTCAAACTTTCCATAATGTGTGGCGTTTGTTTGGCTCTTAACACCACACAATTTAAGTTGGAAAGACATGGCTTTGCCCAAACTTTTTTCTATTGAGTCCAGCCAGGAGCCTACAATGACATTGTCACCCCACGCACCTACTGGTAGGTATGCTAATCCTAGAAGTCCCTACAAATAATAAGGTTTAGACTTGCAACGAATAGTATATTTGGTCAAATACTGAACATTCTGTGGGCTTCCTAGCATAATCTTCCGCTTCTAAATTTTGATTATGATAATGCAAGAGCATAGATATTTATTTGTAAATTTTTGTAATACAGAAGTTGATTATATACTTATGACCACTTTAATGATTATAAGAAAAACATAATTATAAAATAAAATCAATATTTTCAATTTACCAATTATCTGATTACAACAAAACATTTAAGTTTTCCGTCAAGTAGTATAAAGATAGCTAAATAGGTACAATAATAGCCAAATATTCATTTCAAGTCTAATAAGGATACTTATTGAAGACAATAATGTAATAGCTACGATCATTGATACATCCAAATTGAACAAATTGATTTTATACAGATGTTGATGATACAGGAATGTATTATTATTTTTTCTTACGTAAACTGCTTCTACAGATTTTAAAGGTACAATAGACGCTTTTGTTTTACAAAGATTCATAGTTGACTCTTTTGGTTTAGGTATATTAATAAGTAAATACATTACCTGCCATCCAGAACCATTCATAAAGAATTTATGGCTAACTTTGATTAGTGCTAGTTCACAAGTCACTTCTGGTATAGAGGTTATTGATGGAAACTTTACATAGTCAAATACCAATTGTCCAATCCAGGTACCTTGAGAATATTTGGCTTCAACCTGAAATATAAATGTGGATATTATAATTACAATGATAATGAAACATTTTATATTATAAGTTCTTGACAGAAATACTCAATGACTGAACTTGGCCCGACCCAGGACTTGAACCCAGTACCTCCGGATCTACGGTCATACATGCTAACCACCAGATAGCCGAGGCAGTTAGTTTTTTTTAATAGTATTAAAATAATTATAAAACTATGTTTATTAGATTATATCTTTCCACAAATATAAAAATAAAGAAATATAGTAAAAGATATATATATTCAAGGCAAATATAAATTCATAAAAGTTAATGTTGTTTTAGTTTATAGTGGAAAAGTTAAATATTAGTAAGTGCATCTTTCAATGTTATTGTTTCTTGAGTGGTATAATATGAATCATATATGCAGAAAGAAAAAATAGTTCAAAATATTGTCTATTAAAAATATTATCTGTTGTAATATTGTCAAATAATAATTTAGTAAATTACTTTCTTAGATTAACACAAATATTTGAGATTTTAAATAAAACTATCTTTTCATTTTTTTCTGCGGATTTATTTATTCAGGATTTGGAATGTCAGAAGTCAAAATAAATCCATGAAAAAATCCAAAAACATAGTTTTAGTTAAAAATACCTAATATTATTATTTAAATAATATAGTAATAACAAATGTTTATAATATTAAAGGCCATAAAAGTAACCTTACTTCTTTGCCACTTAGGAATATACTGCTAGAGTTTTCGGAATTAAAATATTTGTTGCTGTCCTTTCTAGGATAAGAAGCTATGGCCAATGTTGTGCTTCCAGTGTCAACTAAAACATTAAGCTGAAACATATAAAACCATTGTTACACTTATGAGTTAAGTTATATAGAAAATCGTTTAACCGGCGATATGATTATTCAGTAGTAGATCTTAATTATTTCAAGACTGTACTTTATGTACTCAGATTTTATTATTAAATTTACCTTTTGAGGAGGATGTCCAATTTCAATTTCCAATGCATAAGCTTGTCCAGCTTCTCCATATAGATTGAAATCTTCACACGATGATTTACATAAAATAACAAAGAGTAAAAAGTAACTGAAACTTGTTACAAACATTATTGCTTCTCGATCATACTGCGATGAAATTGATATAATGATAATAATATTTTATATTATATATATGTAATTCAATTATATAGAATAATCTCTTTATAATGAAGTCCTACAGGCTTAGGGTTACTTCTGATATAAAGATTTTGAGTGGCTTCTATTGACCGAATACACTAAACACTTGGTGCAATTTAAGTGCATCACACTAAGACATTGACAGTATATGTCATCTACACGGAATATGGAGATAGTATCTTTATTCTTTAGCATTTTATGAGATTCCGGACGTAATAATGTTTATAATTATTAAAACCATGAAGTTAAATATTGAGAGAAGTAAGAGGGGAGTTAGAGAAGTTAGAATCCTACTTTTCTTAAATAGGTATTTGAATTTTTAATTATGAAAAACAAAATTGATTTACTTTAAATTATTTTTTAAATGTATTCCATTTTTATAAAGTTAACTTATTTTCTAATATATTTTATTTTGTACATGTTATTACCGTAAAATAAACAAAATATTGGCAAAAACTATCCGAATTTATAGCCGAATATTAAGCTGTACGAAATATTTTGGCGCGTATTTATACTTCAAACAACTATTTAAGATAACCCGTAACCGTCAACCAGCGTTGCCAATAAATGACGGGTAAATTACTCGAAAAGCGGGTAATTTTAGGCGATTTTTGATGGCGGGTAATTTTGACGGGTATTTTAGTAGAAAGCATGAGTAGTTTTTTTTTAAATAAATATGTTGGGACATTAACACACATCCCTATCTAGTTCCATGGTAAGTTACGAGGCTTATGTTATGGATACCAGATAGTTGACACACTACACATATACAACTTTAAATACATACATATTATAAATATAAACACCCATGACTGGAGTACAAACATCCGTGCTCGTCACACAAATGAATGCCTCCAGCGGGATTCGAACCTGCGACCGCTGGCACAGCAAGTAGGGTCACTACAAACTGAGCTAAACGGGTCGTCAATTTAGAAATTTAATTTAGCTGATTAATTTGATATTTTTTTTAATGTTTAATTTAATAAATTAAAGCTGTTTAATTGAGAACTGATCAGAATGAATACTTTTTCTAAGATTAGTACTTTGTTTTATTCTATATAAACATGAATAAATTACTTAAAAAAAAACTATTTTCGGGTATTCTGCTCATGGTTGCCGCGGCCCGGCGGGATAAACAGGGTATTTTGAGATTTATTGGTCAGGTAAATCAACGACTGTTATCTGGCAGCCCTGCCGTTAAAGTCAAATGTCAATAGATCCAGAAAACAAAAACTGACGTTCATATTATAAAAAAAAACATTACCAATTATCAAGTACAACTTTAAAAATATATTTTAACAAAAATGAGTCTTTGGGTAGATAAACATCGCCCAAAAGATTTAATGAAATTAGATTATCATAAAGATCAAGCTGCAAGGTTGAAAAACTTAGTGCAACAAAGTGACTTCCCTCACCTTCTTGTTTACGGCCCTTCGGGTGCCGGTAAGAAAACTAGGATTATGTGTTTGTTGAGAGAGCTTTATGGATCTGGTGCAGAAAGATTAAGACAAGAAACCATGCATTTTACGACACCTTCTAATAAGAAGATTAAGATTATGACTGTAAGTAGTAATTATCATATTGAGGTTAATCCGACCGATGTTGGCATTCATGATCGCGTTGTTATCATGGATTTAGTAAAAAATGTAGCTCAAACGCATCAAATTGATTCTTCTGGTCAAAGAGAATTTAAAGTTGTTATATTAAATGAAGTAGACGATTTAACAAAGGATGCCCAACATGCTCTGCGTCGAACTATGGAAAAATATGTTACAACTTGTCGTCTTATTCTCATAGCAAATTCTATATCCCGTGTTATTCCTGCTATTAGATCAAGATGTTTAACAATAAGAGTGCCAGCACCAACTCAAGTTGAAATTGCAAATGTGTTACATGCAGTATGTAAAAAAGAGGGTCTTAGTTTACCATCTGAATTAGCTATGCGTATTGCTACTTGTGCAGATCGAAATTTACGAAGAGCACTGTTGATGTGTGAAGCTTGTAAAGTACAGCAATACCCTTTTACTGCTGATCAAAAAGTACCTGAGCCAGATTGGCAAATATTTATAAGAAGTACAGCTTCTATTATACTATCAGAACAATCTCCAAAGAAATTGGCTGAAGTAAGACAAAAACTTTATGAACTAATAATACATGGAGTTCCACCAGATGTTATTTTTGCTGGATTATTGAAAGAACTCGTAAGTAATTGTGATATGTCCTTGAAATGTCAAGTAGCAAGTCATGCAGCTCGTTTTGAACATCGAATGAGGCTGGGTAATAAGCCTATATTCCATATAGAAGCCTTTGTTGCAAAATTTATGGCTATATATAAGAAATTTGTAGAAGAATCCCTCGGAGATGCCTTCTAATTTTCATTAAGTTGGGAACTTTTAATAAGCTATCTTAATGCTAATGTTTATTAATGATTGTATTTTGCTTTAAAAAGTCTATTATTAATAAGTGTGATTAAATATACCTTTTTTTAAATATAATTGTTTACAACATTAAATCTTATTTATTTTTTGAATTACTTCTGTTACTAGATTTTTATCCGGTTCAAAAAATCTAGTTATTTACCTTATACAGATGTTTGATTTTGAAATAGTTTCAAAACTAATGAGCCTATGATTGCAAGTACTAAAACTCAGTTATTAATTTTCTTATAATAATATGGCTAATTTTGGTTCTGAGATGTAATATTAATTTATAATCCCAGTTTTAGCTTATCATTAAACCTAATGAAATTTTTAATATCTGGAAGTGTATGTTAACAGTAGGTTAAAATAAAATGTCTAAACATTGTGATTATTATTTTTAATCATCTTGGTAATTGTAATAATGTTTAGCAGGTATATTTCTTGCAAACAGTCTAAAGTTGTCAACAATAGCATGCATTACAGATACTGTTATTTCATTTGATATATGATCCAAGAGTGCTGGTTTCTCTAGTAGTAAATTTTCTATCATACTTGTATCATCTCTTAAATCTGAAATGAGAAATAAAATAAAACAATTACATGTTATAACTCCAGAATAGTTAGATTACTGGGTGTAAATTTCAGTTAAGATGCTAACAGCCAATAGAAAGAAAAGAAATAATAAGTATATTTAAACTTTACTTAAAAAATGTGTAAAAAAACTACAGTTACTTAAAAAGTATGCACAAGTTAACCTGCCTGTAGTATTTTAAAAGGGATGGTCGAGGCAAATACATAATTATCCCTTACAAATCACTACTACTTACAAAAGCATTTTAGGTTTTGATCATGCTCATGGCTTTTTATTTTTTTTAAATTAGACCAGAAATTATATTAGTAAAAGTAGGAATATATATTTAGCTGAGTAGTAATCTATAGCTTTGGAAGTTCAGAAAAGTGGGTATTAGTATTCAGTTCTTTTTAACATGCCACTGCTGGGCACAGACTTCCCTTCAATACGAGGGGAACGAGGTCATAGTCCACCACGCTGGCCTAGTGCGGGTTGGCGGACTGAGCATGTCATCAAAAACTTGCTAAGTAAAAAACTTGATAAAGTTAACCTTTTGTAAATAAGTATACTATCTAAGAAGATAATTTATTTTTTCTCACTTGATTGCAAAAAGAAACTAGGCGTTCGTGCATTTCGTACGGCGACCCTTTCAGGTCCTATCAAAATGTAATCTTCGTTGTCGTAACCTCGTTGTCCTGCCCATGCGTAGGTTATATTACTCTCCACATCCTCTGAAACAAAATTTAGTATTTGTTTTGATTAAATTGTTATTAAGGAAACCTACTTAATATTATAAAAAAAATGTAATATCCTTAACCTTGCTTTAAAAGATCAAAGTGTGTTTTTTATAAAAATATTTTTTTATGAAACGATCAGAATGACGTTTTTAATCGTTTCGCGACTAACCGCAAGGTAACTTCATTACTGAGACTATTTTTTACAGAAGAACGTTCAATTTCACGTCGTCAATTTTTTATATTTACTAGCGACTCACCCTCGCTCCGCTCGGGTTCGTCCCCAGTGAAAATTTTGGTTTGTACGTGCTTTTGCCGAATCATAAAAAAAAAATTGTCCAAAACATAAAAGAAAACTTTTTTTTTGGGTGTCCCACCCTTATTATTTAGGGATATGAAAAATAGTTTACGTCCTATTCTCAGACTTAATATACACACAAAATTTCATAAGAATCGGTCAAGCCGTTTCGAAGAAGTGTTGTTACAAACACTGTGACACGAGAATTTTATATATTAGATAATATTTTATTTTTGTTTGGGTTTGATGTTTATCATTACATACATACCTAACATAAAAATGATTTTCTTTTTGCAATGCAAATAGCATTGGAAACGTTTTTACTACCTTTATTTAGACATGTTTAATGATAATTACCATTATTAATACCTTGTATATATCAATTAACGTACCAATATAACAACAATTACTACGATGCTACATAAATATGTGGTTGACAAAGTTTAAGGAAACATTTTAATCTTTATGAGAAAATATTGATTGTCCTTGCATCTGTTAATGCAGAAGTATGAGGAAGATAATCAAGTGTTTTATAAAACCAGTTCGTTTATTGTGGTTTGCTTTCAAAAATGCCTGGGGAACTACCTATGAATAAATAGGTACATTAAAATTATGAACATATGACATTTTCCATTTTATAAGTAACTAGCAGAACCCGCGGCTTCGCTCGCGCTAAAACTGCAAAAAATCTCTAAAAAGGTAGTTATCATACAAACTCACACAAACTTTCATCCTCTATTTAACACCCTTATAGGATGAATTTCGAAAAATGCCAAAATACGTATTTATTTAATATTATTGAGGAGCACTAATACCAAGTTTAAAATAATTCTGATTATAAATATTTTTTTGGATTGTATTATAACGTGTTTTACCGTGGGAATTAGATAATATCCCGCAGTAAAAAGTAGCTTATGTCACTCTCCAGCCCTTCCAACTATCTCCACGCAAAAAATCACGCCAATCCGTCACTCCGTTTCGAAGTGAAAGAAGGACAAACAAACAATTAATACACTTTCACACTTATAATATTAGTATGGATTTTATACTTTTGAAGTTATTTAATATGCAAAGGAAGCTTGGGTTATTAGATGGTAGGTATTTTATTGTATATTAGAACTATGAACATCCACTTTTTATTGGCGAATCGATTCTTAATTGATTACATTTTTTAGTTTGAATAGGGATTTTTGTCCGTGATTTAATTTAAATAATTTTATGAGATCGCACAAGTTTAGTTAGTTATTACGCTAAACTTTCGGTTGTTAATGAGAGGTTGGTGAAGTAAATGCGCGGAAACATGCATCGGGTCCAAATAATTATCTAGTTAGTGTTAATGTAAGTTTGCTGATTTTGCAAAATGATGTATGACTTGGTTTAGCAAAACGACGTAAGAAAACATTAATGTTAAGCTCGTATTTAAATAACTAGCTGTGCTCCGCGGTTTCACCCGGGTTTTTGTTTGATTATAAACATCAGTTTTACAATAACGTATGGAAGTCTGACCGATTTGTTGACATTTATGATTACTGCTCCGCTATATGCTCCCTTGGGTAGTAGCATGATGATATATAGCCTATAGCCTCCTTCAATAAACCGGCAATCTAATGCAAAAAGAATTTTTTTAATCGGATTAGTAGTTCTTGAGATTAGCGCGTTCAAACTAACAAACAAACAACTCTGCCTCTTTATAATATTAGTATAGACTAATTAAATATATTACTAAGAAAACAGGTTTGTTAAGGGCATATTTATCTAAGATTTTGATTAATTTTCATCAATTAAGTGTATTTGTACAATCATACATTTCATGTTAAATTAACTTCAACGAGTTCGGCCATGGGTCCGTAGTTTGAGTTGAAACTAAACCCCTAAATAAATACAAACATCTGCGAAATACTTGCTCAAATTATGGAAACATGTTCATAAAGTCAATAATTTATGTTAGATGTTGATATTTTGCTAAATAGGTACTAAGAAGTCGTTTAACATGTTCTTATTACGTACAGCGCCATCTATTATTAAAAAATACTACCATCAGAAGATCAGTTGTTTTTTCTCTCCTGAAATGTTAGATAGATTTTAATGAGACTTTTTTATTGAATAGGAATTCGTGAAAATTAAACTCTATTGAATAAAATAGACAGGTAGAGGTCCCTATTTTTAATGTTGGGAAATGTGTTTACGCATACCACCCCTATACATACCTACACATAGACTGCTGTTGTACAAGCTTTATAAAGCTAAAGTGACATATAGCCAAAGTTGATTTAATAGCAAAGGTACACTCGTGAGCAAAGCCGTCTGAAATAAACTAGAAGATGCAACAGCATCAGGAAGTAAATAAACGATCTCAAAAATACAAATAATTTACTTAGTTCCGTAGCAATATAACTTGGTCTATTACAAGTCAAATGTAAGTTTATATGATTGTAATTATTTGTTCGGTACGTTTTAGCAGTAATTATATTGGAATTACATATTTATAAAATATGTAAGAAGTTGCTTGAAACTTTGTCTTAAGCTAGTTGTAACTCAGTTTTTGTCAATAAGGAAAGGAAAGAAGCAATGCTCTCACACTCGTTCTCACAATAAATGCTATAATAATATGTAGGAATATTTTCATTTTTCGGTATAGCTGTTCCGGTGATTAGCAAAACAAACTAACATACAACATTTTTAACGGTCGTTTAGGCTTCGGATTAAACGCATAGGACCGCATGAGTTCAAAATGGGATGGTTCTTTTGAAATTGAACAACTATGAGATTAATTTATTGTATTAAGATGTTCAAGTCTTGTTCTGTCTATTTTTAACCCCCAAAGAGGGGTGTTATAAGTTTGACGTCGATGTCTGTCTGTCTGTGTGTATGTCTGTCTGTGGCATCATAGCTCTCAGACGGCTGGACCGATTTCGATGCGGTTTTTTTTCATTTGAAAATCAGTTTCCTTGCGGTGGTTCTTAGCTATGTTTGGTTAATATCGGTCCAGCAGTGTAAGAGTATCAGCTCTTTTTCAAAATGATGTAAGGAGTTTTGGCGTATGATTACTCTATAAGTGCTTCGCACGATTACACGTGCACGCGTGCCAGTGTAATCGTTAAATGACAATTAATTTGCGTAGGGGGCTTTTTAAATTTTTAATTCATAATTATATTAGTTGCACTCAACTGATATTGGGGAAAACCGAAAAATAATATGAATATAGACAGTTATGTCTTCAATACCATGACATACTTACCTATATATTTATTTCAGAACGCACTGTGTTATGAAATAAATATTAATAGGTTGACATATATATATTATTAGGTTAATATTCGATCAATTATGAAAGGAGGTAGGAACTAAATTGAGTTATATTCTTTGTACGTATGTGTAGTATGGTACGCGACATTATCGTCATTTATGAATCGATTTTCATTTTTCAAGTTTTAATAAATATGCTGTATTTCAAAGAAGTTTTCATATTTTCAACAAAATAATAATAACAATTGATTATAAAGTGATTTTGAAATGTTTAGGTAAGTTTAATTAGTTAAAATGTAAATATTTACTCACGTATATCTATCGTTATTTGGGCGAAGAAGGGATCTATTCTGGCAGCAGTCATCATTGTAATCTCACCGGTCACATGTAGGTCACTTATAAACCTAATGCCGTTTTTGCCACCAGGCAAGTTAAATCTGTAAAATTATTGTACATTTTTTTAGTTACCAATCATAAGGAAGATCACAATACAGAAATTATATTTTATGTTATACTACACAATCCAAATCTTATCCGACTAAGGCTTGGACGAGATTTGCATAAGTATATACTATGCTAATGTTTGTTTACACGCATGCCAAATTTTTTTAATCAATAAAGAATCAATTTTTAATCAATGTGTTATAATTAAAAAATGTCTCTTAATGTATGTAGAGCATGAAGTATAAGTTCTTCGCATTTTATACTTTTCCTTATACACACAAATAATGAACTCGAAATTGAGAAATAATACGAGTATTTACTTTCTTAAAATGCTTTCTTAGATTTACGCGAATATTTGACATTTTAAATAAAACTATCTTTTGTGATTATCTCGCGGATTTATTTTGATTGTAAAGTAAGGTTGAACAAATATTGTAAGGTACTTTTTAAGGACGTTTTAAGGATTTTTTGAAATCATTTTATAAAATGTGTAGGCACTGTCTGTAACATGTACCTATATAACGCCATTGAGACGTCTATAACCTTAGTCTCTCCCGTGACTATGATTGCTGTATAAAGTATTCGAAACGTCGGGAACCAAAAATCAAAATAAATCCGCGAAATAATCCGAAAAGATAGTTTTATTTAAAATATCGAAATTGAGAGATTTATTATTTCTTTACTATATATTATTTCTTTACTATAAATAATTCAGGAGATGTCATTGGCAATATCCAATGAGTGAAATTTACCAAATTGGTTTTACATTGCATTGATAATTTTGGTCAGTAATTCAGGTATACTATCTTGTTTTTACTCATAATAACAGGTTTATGTATGTCTGTTTATTTATTAGTAACTATCGCGGTGATAGTTTGGTAGAGTCGACGAAGTATTATTTATAATAAAGTTATACAAAAAATAATATTGAATAAATTAATGTATTTACATTAATTTAAAATTCTTCATAAATAGTTTAAACCTACTTTCTTTCGGCGAGTTTAGTCCACTTAGCACCTGTTACATTGATGCGCCTCATCAAGAATGACAATTGCTCTGCTGGTAGAGCGACTGTGAGGCTGTTCAATATAATGGGATCAACTGACTTCATTCCGACGTATTCTGAATCCATGAGGAAGAAAAACGTCCGAAGTCCACGGCGAAGGCATTCTATGCTATCGGATCGGCAAGCTGGGAATGGTAAAGCTGTGGTTGCAGCTAACAAAAAAAAACATATTATAATTAATCTCTTACACAATTTTAAGGCACGGCGCGGCGGCTGATCTCACTAATATGTATTAGTCATCTGGCCGGAATTCATGTAGGTATAACTTAATGTGACTGATTTTAATAAAAAAAACTTAACACAATAACTTATTCATTAAAGCCATGTCAATAAGTCTAAACACGTTATCTCTGCAGTATTTTCCAGGTGACGCTGCAGAATTAGGCCAAGGTTACCATATCGCTGCAATATCATTGAAGTGACAGGATACGAAGTTTTGAAAGGGTTAGATCAGTGGAAAATGTTAATATCTATACTACATACTATCTATACGTATAATAAAATTGTAACTAAGCCGAATCTGTACATTGAATATTTTTTGGAAAATATTATTGAAATAAACATTATTATCGATACAGAGGCCGAATCTATAGTTTTTAGAATTTTTGCCTGTCTCCCTGTCTGTTACCGCATCACGAAAAAACCACTGGACGGATTTTGATGAAATTTGGTATTGTGATAGCTGGTTATCCAGGTCAACATAATATAGGATACTTTTTCCCGCGGGGAAATATCTAATTTCTGAGAAAAAAAATACAAAAACTGCAATGTAAGAGTATACTAATATGTAAAACCTAAGAGTTTGGTTTTTAGTCATCTGAACGCGAGCGGAGCCGCGGGCAATGCTAGTAAACTGTAAAGACGATATGGATACCTACTTTTTTGGTGTATGTGTACATATGTATGTTCCACCTTTATGTAATAATGTGTGTATGTATTTTAACGTCCTACTGCTGAGCACGGGCCTCCCTTCAATACAAGGGGGATCAGGCCATAGTCCACCACGCTAGCCAAGTGCGGGTTGGCGCACTTCCCATGTCTTACGAAAACGTGCCAGGTTCTCTCAGACATGCAGGTTTCCTTACGATTTTTTCCTTATGTTTACGATGTTACCGTAAGGCAGGTGGTAAACTTGTTAGAAATGATTCGGACATGAAAATATCAGAGATGCGAGACCCAGGATTTGAACCCGCTTCACTCGGTTTCCCAAGCAAGCGCGTTGCCACTGGGCTACCACTGCCTTAATAATAATTATAATTATTAGTATTACGAGTAATATAGCATCCTACGTTACTTATCGTTGATTTTAAGAATGAATTGTCTAGCTCATTTAAAAATTAAATATGGCACAGAATTATTCGACATTGCCTTTTTCGCTAGATGCCTTTAAAATAAATAATATAAAATAGTATAGGCACCTATAGGTACTTTATTAAACGACTCTCAAAGGATTCAAAAGTACTTCTTCAAAAGTCTAATTGAATAAACTAAATTTTAATTGGATTTGTTTAACGTCCCCAGATTCTGTACAGATTTAATTAAATTTTGTACATTACTTTTATGTTTTACAGCCTAATTCAATAATCTTTATCTTTTTGATTTCAGAGTTAAAATTATACGTTTAGTCTTTACTAAGTAGTTATATATATATATATATATATATACATAGGTATATTCAATTGATCTCTGGTAGGCCAAGATGAAAACAGGCTATTATCATGATGTTATTATATCATTATTAATTAAAGGCATAAATCGCATCAAAATTCAATCTCTTCAATTTAATCTATATTCATAGCCTTGATTTTGTAATTAAAATTTTTTCGTTAGGTTAGTTTTAAACATATTGTGAGCATGTTTAGTAAACGTTAAACAATACATTTTTATGTTTGTAATATGATACGGACGAATATAGAACCTCCTCCTTATTGGATGTCGCTGAAACGACAGACAGACAGACAAAAAATATAAAAACTATAGATTCGGCCTCTGTATCGATAATAATGTTTATTTCAATAAGATTTTCCAAAAAACATTTAATGAATAATTAATAATATTTAATTACCACGAAAAATATAAAATTCGGTTGTTACAATTTAGTTGTATGTATTAGATTAGGACTATAAAACAGTTGAGAGTAATAAAACCGACGAAGTTTCAAGTAAAATAAGTAAATCTGACAATGTAGATGTTTCTTTAGCTACTATTTCTCCACTTAGTAATTAATGGGACCTTGGATGAGTAAGTGGGTCTCAACCGTTGATTAAATCTATTACTTAGTCATAAAACTGGAAAAAGATCAGACCGGAAAACATTGTTCGTTAACTAGAAAATCTAGTATATTATTGAATAAATCATACAATAATATGTGTATGTTTATGTTTTAGCAAATTCGGAATATTTGGATGGAATTTAATAGATAGATAGATTCATTGTTAAGGACATAGGGACGTACCCGAGTGAGGAGTAAATGAGTCGTTGTAAGCGAAGAATGCTCCGTTTAAATTGTGAATATTGATTAATTTTTTACTTCACGCTATGAATAATAATAATAATAATGATTTATAGTACGGTGCAATTAGACAAAAACCTCAACATCCAAAGTAAAGTTTCCTTTCAGCTCCAAATTATTCTACACAGTCCAAATATTGTTTGTTATAAAGTTACACCATTTTGAGCGTCGGGTTTGGGGTAGAGGGAGGTTAAAAGTAGGTAAATAAGTAGTTTCTATCAGTTTTTCTTAAATATTTCGAAAACTATGCGGTTTAGCGTAAAAAGCATTTTTCACAAAAATAATCTACATTAAATTGCGAACAAGAATGATCTCATGCATAATCTTGCTAAACTTAATAGTTCCAGAGTTACGGAGCGTGTAAAATAGCAATTTTTCATATTTATTAGGTTTTTTGGAAAAAATATAATACAGTAAGGAAACTATTTTTTTATATAGTGTTTTGCAAAAGTAAATTACGATTTTAGTGGCCGGTGGTATGTTAGTGAGAAGCGCTCGACCTTGAAGGAAGGACAACCACACCACTTTCTCAAGGGGCGCAACTTTTTAAATGAAAAGAGGCTTTCACAGGCCTAGGCCAAATAAACCTTGTGGTACGGAGAAACTCACTCTGAACTTTCTCTGGACAAAGCGGCATTAAGAATGAATATCTTTTCAACATAAATGATTTTAAAATATAAAAATTGTATCCATTGTACCTAATTGTAATAATTATGATATATCTAATATATTTAAACGAGCAATTCTTGTATATATATTTATATATCAATATATAATCTGAATCTTGGAAACGGCTCCAACGATTTTCATGAAATTTAGTATACAAGGGGTTTCGCGGGCGATAAATCGATCTATAATTTCGCACGCTCGGATGTAAACGTGATGGTCAAGCGGCCAAGACGCAAGATTGAATAAGTGTCCGGGTTCGAATCCGGGTTGGATATAAAGGTATAATTTATTTTGTTTTTTTTTTTTGTATTTATTCAAGTTTTTTGTTATTTTTTAAAAGAATTCCAAGCGAAGCTCTGTGGCCCAGGTACTAATTATATAATTGTTAATCATAATATTTTAAAAACTGCAGCTTTTGGAGGTCCATCTTTAGAAAATAACTATTGACTGTATCAGTGTATAATGCAACCATCACTCTTTCTGCACTCCCAGTTGCGGACGTATTCGTACCTTTACAAGCGCACACTATGAGGGAAAGTAATTAATGGGGAGCTACAGGACGTGCTGTTGTAATTGGACTTAGATGTTCACCAATCTTCTTTCATCCCCATTCGATCGAATTTTTCTTCTCATTCAGCTGCTGCTGCACCTGGTGGTCGGTTCTAAATGAATGCTACACTGGGTTCAGCTTTGGAGTTACGTACGAAGAGCGCTGTTGGCGTGCACTTTCCTCTATGGTGTAATTTTCTCCTTTTTGTAGATAGCTTGTACAGTGGCACATCCTGTGAAGGCGTATAATGCAAAGAGTACACCTTTCATATCCCCAATGCCTCCCTGAATTACATAGTTGTTATAAAATTATTTTTCCAAAAATTCTAAAAAAATACGAAAAATTGCTACTTTTACACCCTTCGTAACTCTGGAACTGTTCGCTTTAGCAAGGTTATGCATAGGATCATTTTTGTTCACAATTTAATTTAAATTATTTTTGTTTATGACATTTTTTGTGCCAAACTAAATAGTTTTCGAAATATTTAAGAAAAACTGATGAGAACTACTAATTTACCAACGTCTACCCCCTCTCCCCCCGAAACCTGACGCTCAAAATGGTGGAACTTTTTACCGAATAATATGTAGACTATAAATAGAACAAATTGGTGTTGGAGGGAAACTTTTACTTTGGATGTTGAGGTTAGGCTAAGACTAATTGCACTGTACTATTAGTGTACAAATAATAATTAATGTAATGTCTATTCGACATGTATGTCCACAGTCCACTCTGCTATCAGAGAAGTTTCAGGAGCAACCTGCATGGTGCACCGCCCACCGAAGTGGGCCACCTCCCTGTGCGTTTCTTAGCTTCGCTATTAGGCCCTCCCCCACACCACGACAAGGTGAACGCACGTTGGGGCTCACATACGATTACTTGGCATATAAGCTATAGCCTATAACTTTCAATAATAATAATTATTATTATACATATATTTTGTAGCCCATCCGTTAAAATATGTAATTGATATGCTATGTCTTTTAAGATTTTAAGAATAACATTTGAACATAATAACATTTTGATTGATGAATTTTGTATCATATTTATAAATAAGATTAATTTACATTTATGTAGCTATAACGGCATTTTGGGAAATATCAAGGATATGAGACGTTGTGTAACAGATTGTCTGATTTTTGCCTTTTAAAAAACTAATATTAATTATTTACCTATCGAATGATTGGAAGATTCATTTATGATATATCAGTGAATATATTTAAAGCTGCGTGCAGTTCAGTTGTTACAACTTAAGTTTAAAATATATAATAAAATAACCTACTAAAAACCGGTAACGTATTGTTACAATAAAATATTTAATTGTGCGTTTGAAGATAACGTATCGAATTATTGATGAACTTCAAGAAAGAGCAGAAGTACTTAATTCGGGTACTCAATTGTTTTTCGTATGTTACGGGATATCT